CACAGAGGGGTTTTCCATGCCGTGTCCGTCAGCCCCCATCCTTAAGCTCCTGGACAAGTCACCTGCCCACCCTACTTTGTAAGGATTTGTTGGATTCAAGGCTAGGAGGGGAATGAGCTCTGAGAGTGCCCTTCCTAACCCCTCTCTCCTGCTTCCTGGGCTGACCAACTCACCCACCTTGTTGTAGCTTGCAGCCAGGAATTTGTCACCACGGTCCTCACTGGGATTTCCTGATGAGAACTGTGGGGACTGGAGCCTGGGGTTGTGGTAGATCAAAGTGGTAGAGCTTCAGGAAGGCGAGAGCTATCCACAAACCTGCTTGTCGGAGCCGCCCAGGACTGCGCTGCACAGTCAAGATGGAGTCTCCACAGGAAATATCCTTCCAAGGGCACAAAGAGGAGTTGCTCAGGAGGTCGAAGAGAGTTAACTTTCTGTTCTTACTGCACCCTACGATTGCTACTAACTTGACACTGATTTCCAACCAAGCTCTCCTCCCTCTCCCTGCAGAGGAAGCGAACTCTAGCCAAGAAGCCTCAGTTAGAAATATTGTAGCTAAAATTGCAGGGATGTGAGACTACGCTTTGGATCACCATGTCTCTGTGCTGCCACCTTCTGCATACCCAGGGAACTAGGAGCCCTGCTGTGAGGAGGGTTCCTGCTTTGCTGCATTACATTCCTTTGTTCACATAAACTCACAGGTGGATGGTGAGTGCACAACCACCAGCTCTCTGAGGCTGCTCAGGCTTCGTGGGCTGCAGGAGCCTAAGTGCTATGTGGGACAGCAGAGAGTTGAGCTGAGCTTCACTGAGTGGGGATGACCCCTCACATGCCTCGCTTCAATAAAAATTTGGTGCAATTTATGTGTTTCTTTTAATTATGGCAGAGTAACTGCAAGGTCTGAACAGAGTCGGAAATAACTATAGACATGCTAGAAAGAAGAGATTAAAAAAAGGTGAAGTATAGAAGGGAAATAACACACTTTGAGAGTGACCTGGGATAAAATGGGGGTGGGGAGGGCGTGGGGAATGCATTTTCATATACATGTGTGTTTTTGGATTTTCTCTGGTGATCATAGCCAGATTTTTAGCTCTGAATGTCTCAGGAAATGAGGCTTTGGAAGGAGGAGAGCTGGGACCAATGACGGGGTGGCTCTGCATTAAGCTGAATTTATGGAAAATTTTTGGCCCATGGAAAAAATCTCTGACTCCTGAGAGAGTCAGCCCAGACCCTGAGTGAGGAGGACAAAATGTGCATGTGAGGGCGTGCCAACAGTTCAGTGAGGGGAGTGCAAGATAGAAAGACATACACACACCAATAGACAGTCAAGTCAAAAGTTGTATATTTTAAAGTCAACATGAGTCCGCTGTGGTAAGATTTTTTAAAAAGTGCAAAAGGGGCATAGGGAAAAAGCTACTGTATACAAACATTCCTGCGGTGAGGACCAGGTAATATGGGCAGACCAAATCCAGGGATACATAGGGTAGCCAACTAAAAAGGAGGTGGGGGGCGCAAAAGAAAATAAAATTGAAAAGAAGAAATGGGTAACAGGGACACAGGGCACTAACCCACCCAAGGGGAGGGTATTGTTTATATCTCCACAGGGAAAGAGAGACCAGACTTCAACCCAGTGCTCCAAGATGTGAATGCAACATGCCGGCATGGAATAGGGAACCAGTGGAGAAGTCTGAGGGGCCAGCCCCAATCCCAACTATGTGGACACTGGACCCTTT